ATGTAAATATGTCTATATAATTACACAAAATCTGTGTTTATTCTTGTTTCATCTTGTGTTAATACCTGACGCAGTAGGACTCACATCAGTATGTGGAACTATAATTTTAGCGTGTGCCCCTACGTTCCTTATGTATGTGACACTGTTCCCCTTTTTTTCGCGGGGTTCATGCATCGTTCTCCCCTTTTGATACTTATCTCTGTGGGAGAGGTAGGCGGCTCTTCAGCCAGAAGCAATTTCCGTGTTTTAGTGTCGACTTTATGCACTTTAAGTTACTTTTTATTACTTATTTTTGTTGTAGTGTCTCACGGGTGTTCACAATGTATTTCTGTGTTGTTTAATTTGTATAGGGGCACGTTAAAGAGAGTACTGACTGGAGAAATGTTTTCTTTCTGTCGCTGTTTCGTCAGGAGTGAAAATAAATGTACATCCTGAATGAAGCTACACGTCTGGGTCGTCGTCTTTCTACACAACNACAGGTCATTGCAGCATTACCCATATGTAACAGGGACAGTTATGTCTTATCAGATTTTGTGTAATTATATAGACATATTTGCATAATATATTATATACAAATAAGACATAACTGTCCCTGTTACATATGGGTAATGCTGCAATGACCTGTTTGGTGTTTGGAGCCAAACACTTCAGAGACATGTTTTGTATATATCTGAGACCTATAATATATTGATGAAAAACAGTATAATAGGGGACCTTTAAAGTGCATCAGGAATCCTCCCTGTGAGAAATGTTATCCACTCACAAACACTGATATGTGCGTCTATATATCATGTGCATAAGACTGTTTTTATATGCGGCAAATTAAACGCCATCAGCCCCAGCCAGTGATGGTGCTCTGCGGGAGCTCGGCCACAGAGGGATTGCATTACCTCCATGTGTTATCCACAGAGAGAGTGATGGAGCACATAGTGCCATCTGTGCTGCCTTTCATTTGCATTCCCAACAACTGCCTGGTCTCTCCACTCACTTGTTTCATCTTCTTTGTCTTTGAACCAAGTAAGCAAATCATCCATTTATGAGTTTAAATGTTTCACTCCTCTGTTTTTGTAGAAAATAAATCGTGTAGGGGGTTTTTTGGAAACAAAAACTCTATGGTGCATCGGTGCAGTTCTCCGTTTAGGACACTATTTGATCTATTGAAGCAAATTGTGTGTCAGTGAGTCAATGAAATGTGATGTCCTTGCATTGAGGCAGTTTTTCTCATAGACCAGTGACGTTATTGTAACAAAGTAAAGTTTCATCGTTAAAAAATAGGCCTGCCAAAAAGATTCTTCAATGTTTTCTTCAGGCTTGTTTACTGCAGGCAGCTCTACTTCGTCTGCCGTCTCACACGAAGCTGCAGATCGTAGATGTGGGTTCACTGCCAACACACCATTTGGTCTTTGAGTGGGCCGGAGTTGGTGTGTGCGCGCCCATCTGGAAATGCGAGGTACCAAGAGAAAAACAAACAGATCCCTTCACAGATGTTTGCATATTTAAAACGGCACCTATACTCTCACAGAGATACCACCTCCTCTATGTTTTATCACTTCTACATTAGAAAAAATACATGAAAAGGTAAACATTATTGCCTGTAAACAAGCTTTTGGACTTACAAGTGATGTCTAAAAACTACCATATGTTAAAGGTTTAGTGCTTTTTGGTTTGAAAACCAAGGTCAACCATGGACATTGAGCACTTACTGGGACCACATTGGCAAGGTAGAAGGAGGGGGCTGCACCTACACACACATTTTCTGATCTGACGTCACCACCTACAGTTTGCCGATAGCTTCCAGAAAATGTTTGCTTTCTGCTCCGTAACACAATTAAGAGGCAATTAATGTAACAAAACAGGGGCAAAGTCCCACCTGCAGGCAGCAAGTGGACCTATCATGCTAAATTTGAATAATATAGTGTAGGAACATACTGTACCTATACCTACACGAGTGGCCCATGGTGGTGGGGTTAGGGTATGGGCAGGCGTATGTTATGGACGATGAACACAGGCCACTCGATTCACAACATTACCTCTAACCCTAACCCTAATCCTAACACTCACACCAGATACTGACTGGTTTTCGGACCCCCCCAGACCCCCCCAATAAAGCAAAAATGCACGTTTCAGAGTGGCCTTTTATTGTGGCCAGCCTAAGGCACACCTGTGCAATAATCATGCTGTCTAATCAGCATCTTGATATGCCACACCTGTGAGGTGGGATGGATTATCTCGGCAAAGGAGAAGTGCTCACTATCACAGATTTTTTCAGATTTGTGAACAATATTTGAGAGAAATGGTTAATTTGTGTATATAGAAAATGTTTTAGATCTTTGAGTTCATCTCATGAAAAATGGGAGCAAAAACAAAAGTGTTGCGTTTATATTTTTGTTCAGTGTACTTTGTAAAAGTTATATCCTCACCTACAGTACTGTATATAGCTCTGCTCTCAATTATGCCTAACAACAAAAATCACGAGTCCTTCAGACAAAATCTTATCAAATGGATTTCTGTGATCTAATATTCAATTTAAGGGGTCCTTGACGGAAAAGGACGGGGACTAATGTCCTGGTTCATGAGTACATTTTAAGGTAATGCTTCATACTGTATAAAATGCTTCAAAAAATAAATGAAAGACCATGTATCTGTTGTTTTATAAATGTTTTTGCCTTTTCTTTATATACAAACAGTCATAAAATGTTTAAATTGAATTTTCCTATCTTACTTTTATACGTGTTATTTTGTTAGTACATGTTGTTTTTACATTATTTTATTTAATCTTTTGCATATTTATCTTGTGTTTTATATGAAATTGTGATTTTTAACATTATTTAGGTGGATACTCCAAATAAGCCATCATTGTATAATTTGTTATGAGTTACGTTTATGAATTTATAAATTGTTCAAAACTATTAAAAAAAGTTATAAATACATAAAAACAATTCAGAATGTATTCTCGGTTAAAGTGTGACATTTAAAAGGATTAATGTGGGCTCAGTAGGTACTTAGTTGATTGATTCTTATATGGTGGTTACTACAATAATGTAGAAATGTACACATTAAATGGAGATATTTAATAAGTGGCTGTTACTGGATTGCATTACATCATGCAAGTGTTGCTTTTAATGTGCACTGTTCGTGTTATACTGAGATTTTACAAGTACAATTAGTTCTTCCATAACATCTCTATGCAGACTTCAGGATGTTGCACACAAACATCGATCTGTTTCATATTCACTATATTAAAGTGGATAAAGTTAGAACCCAAAGTGTCTGTCTTCTAACAAGTATAAGTGAGGCATCAACAGAGCAGCCCACCTTCTTTCACAGCTGTCGTTGACCTCTTCCTCTTTGGAGTTGGTGTTTCCACCATCTCCAGTCCGACTCTCTTCCCTTTAGTCATCGCGGAACGTAGCCTGCTCATTTCAAATCACCGCATGTACAGTATTGACTTATTTCATGTGTCTGCAAACAGAAACAGCACTCATGTTTACTTCACGTTAGCTCCCGCCACGTTCAGGGACGAGTCGCTGCTCGTCCAATCCGCTTTGAGTAAAGAGGCAATGTGCGTATGACGCTATGTCCGGTGGGCGGCTCAAGATCTAAATGATTATCAAAGGGAGTCTGGTTGTGCAATTAAATGATAAGAAAAATAAAATGATTTAAAGATTTAAAATGTTTATATTAAAACAACAAGGGGGGTCCCTCTAAAACTGGCCAACCCGACAGCCCCACTGTCCCTTGTCGTTTACTGATTTTTTATTTGTGTTATTATTTATTGTATTTTTTAATATTATATTTTGTATTATTATTATTATCATATTTGTATTATTGTTTTTTTATTTTCTTATTATATTTTAATAATATTTCATAGGAAATTGTATTGTTATTATTTTATTTATTGCATTGTTTTTATTATGCTGTTTTGTATGATTATTATTTCATTTATGTACTTTCTTAATTTATTGTTTGTTTTTATAATATTTGTTTTTCATTTTTTTATTTGAATTGTTATATTTTATTTATTTATTATTTGTTTTTTTGTTTTTTCGTACTATTATTTTATTTATTGTTATTAAAGGTATTATGTATTAGTATTCCAACACTTTGGTAGTTCTACTGAAGTACAAGATCTGAGTGCTTCTCCCACCTCTGACTATTCACCCTTGGAGGCATTTTAATTGGTGCATATTAAAAATAACACCCCCCAAAAAACTAAGGAAACATTTTTGCAAATGCTTTGAGAAACACAGTGAAAACAATCTCCAAATTACAGCTGAGACAAGTGTGTAAAGCAAACTTATAAATGAAGTGTATTAAAACTGTCCATGTATAATCACAGATTGCAACTCAACATTCAATCACATCTAAAGTCATATTTGATAAGAATGTTTTAATAATTCCATAATAAAAATAATTAGTAAGCAAATTAGGAACTTAAAGGTGGGGTAGGTAATGTTGAAGAAACCAGCTCGAGTGCGCTAGAATTTGAAAATACACAGCCAAAAAAATCTGCCACTTCCTTACAGAGCCCCTCCTCCAACACACACGAACGTGCACATGACCAATGAGGGCACGAGATAAGTTTGTGCACAGATGGAAGGCTGANGTACAAACTGTGAAGTCCACTGAGACAAATGTAACATTTGTGATATTGGGCTATATAAATAAACATTGATTGATTGATTGATTGAGGTAGGCCATCCAGTTATTTTAGCCGGGCCGGCTAAAATGATTGGTCGTGCTTTCGGGATGATAAGAGCATTCCATGCAATATAACAAAAAGTGTTTCTGTAATAAATTACATACCCCACCTTT